AGAAAGAATTTACTTTTTATTATTACTTTGTTTTGGTGTTAAGAAAAAAAAAATTACATAATCAGCGGGGATTGATTAAGTGCAATGTCGTTAGGTATTTTTAACACTGCCTTTTATTTATTCTATACACTGAACATACTGTTCAATAATTTTTTTTTTTTTAAATCAATAACATTTAATAAGCCATGGTCCTACAAATCCTATATGTTTCTTTCTTTCCATTTACGGATAAGCTTGGAGTGTTATCATTTTTGTTCACTAAATTGAAACAGGCGCGTCCGCCGGCGCCCCTGCACGGTTCGATTTGGCACCCTGGGCTATCATGTGAGCGCTATGCTGCATAATTTTGTTTTGAACAGTGCGATAGACTATGGATAAGAAAGGTTACTATAGTCTTTAAGTGAATCAAATCCGGGCGTCCTCCGGCACCCCGACAGGGTGCTATTTGGCGCCCCGGGCCTCTGCATAATTTTGTTTTGAACAGTGCGATAGACTATGGATAAGAAAGGTTACTATAGTCTTTAAGTGAATCAAATCCGGGTGTCCTCCGGCACCCCGACAGGGTGCTATTTGGCGCCCCGGGCCTTCCGGTGTACGCTAGGGTATCTACGTTCGCGTGAGTTCAAAAGACTATCGATAAGTTATGTACTATAGTCGTTTACTAAGTTCAATCAGGCGGTGACGTCATGGTGCGTCCTCTGGCGCCCAGACAGGGTGCTATTTGGGGTCCCGGGCCTCCCGTGTTCGGTTTCGCGCCTACGTTCATTAAAGTGAGTGCAAAAGACTATGAATAAGTTGGGGTACTATAGTCGTTTATTAAGCTGAAGCAGGCGATTCAGCCCCGTGAGCACTTTGCGTTTATGTTCGCGTTAGTATTTTCTTTGTGTTTAGGTTGGGTTTGCGTTAGTGGTTGCGTTTTGATTTGGTTCGTTTTTGTTCTTTCTTTTTTCGTTTTCGTTTGTGTTTTATTTTCATAGGGTTTGTGTTTGTGTTTGTGTTTGAGGTTGGTTTTACGTTTGGATTTGGTTTGTTTTCGTTTGTTTTTTCTTTTGTGTTTTTTTTCTTTGGGTTTGTGGTTGGTTTTGGGTTTTGGATTTGGTTTGTTTTCGTTTGTTTTTTCTTTTGTGTTTTTTTTTTTGGGTTTGTGGTTGGTTTTGCGTTTGGATTTGGTTTGTTTTTGTTTGCTTTTTTCTTTGTGTTCGTATTGGTGTTTGTGGTTGTGGTTGGTTTGTTGTTAGGTTTTTGTTTTCGTTTGTATTTGTAATTGTGTTAGCGCTATGTTTGCGTTTTGTTGTTTTGGTTTTGGTTGGTTGTAGTTTGGGTGGGCAATGCCGGGTTTATGATGATTACTAAACACACAGGTAATGGTCTTTAACAAAAGGGTTTTTCCCAGAAGCCAGAGCAGGGCCTGGCCGGGACGGCTAGTTATTTTATAAAAATAAGTAGGCTAATAATTAGTCTATCACTAATCAACCGCTGTATGAGTAGATTATCATTTAGATACATCTAGATCTAGATCTAGATTCTAGATCTAATTACGTTTTTAAAAAAAAAATATTTTAATATTTTATAGACTTTAAATAAACTTCTTGAGACTGAGATAAATCTTGTCTATATTTCGTACAAGAATCTAGATCTCAGAGTTCCAAATAGATCTAGAGATCGACTAGAACCATTCAAACATTCTGTCATTCTTTGCGTCGTCTGCTATTGTAGATTGTTTGGTTACTCTCGCTAAGTAGGCCAGGCTATGCAAATTGTAAAGGTTATACACAAAAGTTGATGACGTCATTTTGATGCACTTTCTTTAATATTTGGCGGATCAATAATAAAATTTATAAAATTTATAAATGAGACACTCTTAAAAAAAATCAAATTCCTTCTTAGATCTATCAGCTTTTCATTCATTTTCAATCACAATTGTTCATTTTAGTTTTAGATTTTAGGGGCAGCAGCTTCTGTTTAGCATCGTTAAAAAAATAAATTAATAGGCCTAAAAGTAGCCTATTAAAATATAAAAGCGAAGTTGTAAGTTTTAAATAGTCCATGAATATTTTGAATAGCAATAAATCTAGTTAATAACCTAATAAAGGTGATGCCAATGGAAAAAAGGTTTTTTTTTTTTACAGATTTGGTTTAATCTATTCGATGAGAAATGTCGCATGTTTTTCAAGACAATGCTAAATCTAGATAAGTTGTGAATACTAGGATTTTTTTTTGGCCGATTCTAGTCGGAATAAGATACGCATGCGATACGCATGCGCAATGGAGAGAAACTACGACTTAGCGGCGATGTTTTCGATGGTACTGCGCATGCGTGTGTTTACAACCGCAGAACCCTAATACCAACCCTAATCCTATCCTTAACCCTATCTCTAATCCTATCCCTAACCCTAATCCTATCCCTAACCCTAGCCCTAATCCTATCCCTAACCCTAACCCTATCCCTAATCCTACCCCTAATCCTACCCCTAATCCTACCCCTAACCCTCATTCTAGCCCTAACCCTAGCCATAGGTCACTGCGCATGCGCAGAACTATCTTTTGCCGAAAAATCTTATTCCGAGTAGACACTTCGTTTTTTTTTTGTCTACACCAAATCATACTACGAATCATTTTCTTAGATTCTCCCGAATGTCATCGGGGCCTGTGGCGCAACGGATAACGCGTCTGACTACGGATCAGAAGATTCCAGGTTCGAATCCTGGCAGGCTCGTATTTTTTTTTAAATTACTTCCATCGACAAACTATAATGCAAGATCGCTTAACTAAAAATGCACTTTTAGACAACAAAAAAAACAAAACAAAACAACTAGGCCTACAGAGCTTAAATAACTCAACAACTCGGTCTAAAGGCCGCAGTACGATCTGTAATATTCAATTTGAGCGAAGGGGATCTTTACTTTAAAAAATGACTCCTGTACTAGAGTAGGTAGAAACCTAAAAATGATTTTTGAGTACTTTATACCAACATTTTTTGAGTTAGTTAGAGGGAGCGCTAAGTTAATTAAACATTCCATTTATATTTCTAGCTTTAATATGAGGGGAGACATTTTTTTAAAATTTAAAATGTATGGTCTTACATAAGCTCTATAAAAAATGAAGCAAGTGGGAAACAAAACTGAAAATTTTTATATAATATATTTGCAAAATTGTTTTGAATTCTAATGATAAATTATGAGACAGGAGTGGTTCTTTTATGTAAATTTGAATTAATAATCGTGCAGGCTTGTTTCGGTTTGATGGGTATGCTTTATTTTTGTGATTTAGACTTTGGTGTCATTCAGAATGTGTGAAGGCAATTTTTGAACCAAAATTGTGCCTTTAAAAAAAAACTAAAATTAAAATGTGGACTAATAAAAATAAAGGGGAAGGGGTGGAAAAAATTGTGACTTTTTATTTCTTAGCTTTCTTTGAGTTCACAATGTCTGTTTTTGTTGTTTATTTGTGTAGTGTGGCATTTTAAACCCACTTCTAAAGTTCTAATACAGCAATTTTCCAGAAACATTAATCTCCAGTACCAATGTGAATTTAAAAAAAATCTGATTAGACATTAGGTTAGTAATTAAAAATTAAATATTACTATATTTAACAATAAAAGTTAAGATAACAAGATTAAACACTAGCAATCACTCCTGGTCATCAACAGGTAGATCTAATTGTTTTTTAACAGCTGAATGGTTTTTTGTTTAGACTAAGTAGAATCTGATAATTGTCTACTAGAGATTGTAGAGTTTTAACACAAATATTTTTACTCATAGCCTTCATTTAGAATGAATTACTAAAAAGTGGAAAATAAAAAAATCCTTACAATAATAAGCTTTAAAATGCAAAGAAAATAATAGTAATTAGCTTTCTATAGTAAAAGCATCTGTCACTAAAATATGTAAGAGATCTCATGAGCGACCATTTCAGGTTTGCTTTTGAAAAGCTTATTATAAAGGTTTTTTTATTTCTATATTTGTTTTGTTTTCTACATTTTAGTATTTTCTTTTTTTGGTGCATTTTAAAAGCTTATTATTATATTTGATGTGACAGTTAATGAGTTATAAAATTTTTTGTAGCTGTGTGTAATTATTACAATCCTGATTTTAAAATTGGTAACCAAGGTAGATTTTTCAAGGAAAAAAATGGATCAAAACTAGCCCAATAATAGATCAGTCACATAATAGAAAATAATTCATGAGGTCAAATCCAATTATATGACGAATGTATCTACTAAGCAGTAATAACATAGAATTAATAGCTCACTATAAAGCTTTTCATTTTAAATTTTTTTTTAAATCAATGTAACTTGTGTCAATGGGCAAAATGTATTCATCATACATTCAATGAAAAGCTTATACTTATTTTATATCATTAGCTCTTTAAAATATTCATCATTTAATAGTAGCTAAACAAATCCAATTTTAATATATCTTTTCTTAAAATACTTTATTACATTTTATTTTTAACAGAACTTAAAAGGTTTCATCTGCAAGTAATTAAACACGAAAGCAAATTTTTTTTTTGAACTGTTATATATAATCTGTTACCTATCAGCCATTCCTGCTGTTTTTCACTTACCTTTGGGAAACAACGTTGAGTAATAATATAGAAAAATTATAACTATTGCTCACAGGATTTATGTAATTTTATTAGCTAAAATTTTTTAAGTTCCTCTTTAGACCTAGTGATCCATTGGGCAGATGAAGTAGAGTTTGTTTCTTGACCTCTACATATGAAGGGATGGTGTGGTTAGCACTATGCTCAGACACCTCCACTTTCCCCATGAAAGTCAGGTACCCATAAGAGTTGGGTGGATTCAGGGACACTCTACAGTCAAAGTCCAAACTAAGATCAAACCTCGTGACCTTCAGGCTAGCAGCAAATAGGCCCTACACCACCATTTGGCCACAACATTCCAGATATAAAATTCTGTGCTATATATTAATCATTGTTAGAAACTGTCACTATCCCTGGTCATACAAAACAGACAAAAACTAAAACAATATCCAAAAAAGAATTCAGTAATTTTATTTATGAAGCAAACAATTTCATTAGTGACATACAACATGTACCATGTAAAAAAATTTAGGAAAACTGATGGCAAATATGGGTAGGAAGATTGTACTCTTCGAGAGTAAATCAAGGATAAATGGATGGCAATGGAAACAACAAAATGTTTTACAAGGATTAACTAATCAAATGATAAAATGTATCACTGAAAAGTATATAACAAGCTCAACCAAAATAATTTCTAGAAAACAAAAACTGGCAGTTTTTTTTGTGTAAAATAAAAAGGCTTCATAAGGAATGACTATTAAAATAACATCTAGACATCGCAAGCTTAACAGATCTATTAACTTGTGCAGGATTATGATCCTATCAACCCTAAACTGCAAATCAACAAGTCATTTGCACCAAGCAAGCAATATCAATACCACTATCCTTTAGCCCATTAAAAAAAAATTACAAGTCAGTGTGTACTTAACAATGGACAGCCACCCCCCTCCCCCCGTATAAGAACTCCTAGTGTCCGTGATTATTGCCATTGTTGTTGTCAGAGCCTAATGGCATGACCTCACCAAATGCTGCCACTTCCTGATCTAATGGCATCATGCCTGCTGCCATGTCATTGTTCCAGTCCCCAATGCCATCTTTAAACACACTGTCTGCGGAGTAATCATTTCTCTGGGAAAAAAAAATAATCAAAACCCATCTCAGCATTTTGAATTGAGGAAAAAATAATAATTCAACAAGCTTTAAATCCATTTATAATATAATGTCACTGCATAGTCTAATGGTAGAATAAAAAATTACTATCAATTTCTCAACTAAATTTAGCTGGTCAAATAGCTATTGTACACAATCTCTTAATAAGCCAAGGTCTGCAACTAATTAAAGCTGTAAGTCTGCATCTCACAACATTTCACAGAGTAAAGACTCATCACATAACTAATGTCTATGCATCAAGAAAACAAATTTGTTGGAAATGATATTCAAAGAATAGCCCCAAATCCCATCTCTCCCAACTGCTGAACAATTAGGTTTACAAGCTATGCAATTATTGATACATAGGCCTACTAGATTTTATAATAAAAAAGTGCCATCTCTGTATAGAGAGTATCAAACAAATGTACAAAATCAATTGCACGTACCCCCCACCTTGGCAGTCTGCTGGGTCATCTTGCTGAACATGTTTGCATAGAGCTTCTTCTCCTGCTGATGCTCTTCCTGCAACTTCTTCTTACATACAATTATCTGATTCTTTGCAGCTTTGTTGTCAGGCTCCAGTGCTACAACTTGGTTATAATCTTTCACAGCTTCATCATAGTCTTTTCGATTCTGGTGAGCCTGGAAATAAGATTTCTTGATTGTACTACAGGTTTGAAAATAATTGATAAAAACCTTTAGTGTTATATTTTTAAAGAGTAAAATGCTATGCAATTAATAAAAAAACTAAGTGGTTTTAACACTATCAAAAAATGGGAACTTATTTAAGTCAGCATTATTAAGTTGTAGGACTATTACCATTCAGTCAGAAGCAATTTTTTTCAAATACATATCAGTTTTTGGCCAACAGTAATGGCATTCTGTATTGAATTTAACATTTTTTTTTATGGAACTACAATGCATAGGCCTACAGAATGAGATATTTTAAATTCTTTAAATTCACCATTCAGGACCACAGTGGGCCTATCTGTAGTATCAATGTATCTTTGGAAAACATTTTATTTACAGGAAAAATTGTTCTTCAATAACATTTCTAAACATATTAAAAATCTGTTAATATTTTTATAACATGGTTAGAAAATAAACTGATAATGGCTTATTTTATCAGTATCATGAAATAACACTGACAGTTGCATTATTACCTGTGCTCTTCTGAAGTAAGCTTTTGAGTTATCCTTGTTCAGTTCAAGAGCCCCATTACAATGCTCAATAACTTTAGCATCATTGCCTAGACGCAATTCACAAGCTGCTAAATTCAGATGTGCTGCCAAAACAAGCGCATCTCTCTTGTCTTTTTCTCCCCCTTCTAATGAGGTTTCACTGTCGAGGTATTCAAGAATTGTTGCATAGTTTGTGACTGCTTTTTCTGTCAACCCTTTCTGTTGATTAAATAAAAACGTTAAAAAAAAATAATGAACAATATACCTAAACCCTAGAAAATTAAGATCTTATAAAAACAAAGTAATCGTGTCAGTTAACTTATTAATAAAAGTAATAGTACTTAAGTTATTGTACTTAATATTTAAACATTACCTTGAAAAATTCTGTTCCTTTAGCCTTTCTGATTTCTGCTTGTTCTAGTTTTTCTGGAGTTTCCATTTCATACACCTTTTTAGCCTAGAGTTAAAAGAAAGAGTTTTCATTCTTGTAATAAACAGTATTATATTCTGATGTAAAATTAACACATCTGAAGGCTAGATACAAAAATTGTGATGTCAAAAATGAATAGATCTAAAATTTAGTAACCTTTTCAAATGAAATCAACTCCACTTCATAAGTGACTGTAGCATTTGGCGGTACATTCAGCTCCTGATTTCCATCTTTACCAAAAGCATAAAATGGAGAGAGAACTATCCTTGATCTTTCCTGACTCTTCATTTTCTTAATAGCTGTTTCTAAACCAATAACTATTTTTGGATCCTCTACTTCTCCTAGGGTAAAAGTGGTTGTAGTGTCCTCTATAATAACTTGCTGGTCGATCTTTGCAGAATATTTGACTAAGGAAAATAAAAAACTTTTAAGAAGCACAGAATTATATAAAGGAATTCTTGTATTTAACAATAAAACAGCTAAACAAGGTAATTAAAAAGTCTAGTGACAATTTTAGTGCAATTTCCTTATGTTATCTAAAAATAGCTCTGTCGTAGCGTAAATCAAGAGCAGGGTTAGTAAACCATTGGTTAAAATACATGTTTTATTTACAATAGAGTTACATGACTAAAAACCATTGCGCGCCTAGCTACTGAACGTGATGACGCAGCCATTGAACGTGATGGCGCAGCTATTGAACGTGATGACGCGTGTGGTGTGGTTGGAAAAAATGCCTACTAATTCGGTCCAAATTTTAATTAATTCAAAAAAAGTTTTGTGACCGAACGAAAGGATATTTTTGAAAACTTTCTTTGGCAATATTGTTCTAAATTATGGCAGGAATCGATTGGCACATGTTTCAAGTCGCTAAGTGGTCTGGTTGCCGAGATATGGGCCAAAAACTGCTTTTTTCGAGGTTTTTTGGCTTTTCTGGGAAATCCATGAAAGAAACCCGGAATTTTTATGGACTATGTTCATCCTCGTAGCCTGCTTAACATAATTGTTTTTGGAACTAGTCATCGATATTGCTTCGTTGAGGAGGAGATACGACTTAAAGCTGCGGACACACATTCATTCATCCATTCATACATCCAGAAATGACGGGTTAATAAACGCAATTCTCCAGAATGGAAATTGCGCTAAAAAATATTTGGTATTACAGCTATTTCACATAAACATACTGCACAAATATGCATAAACAAAAATATTCTTACTTGTTACACTAGCAAAGTCAGCTGGTGTTGTAGTTTTATAGGTATCTGAAGCATGTAACACATAACGTAAAATTCCTTTATCTTTGTTTGGAGATAAATCATCACCTGCAGACATTCAAATGAGAGTATGCATTTAAAAGTTGCACAAAGATAAAAATATAATATAACTTACTTTTACCAAGTTTAATTCAAAGAATACATTGAAATCTTTAAAATTTTAAAAATTACATGGAATTTCCCAGGAGAACAATTCAACTTCAAAAACAAGTGTAGCATTTGGAGGAATTTTAGGTGGGGAACCAGACTCCCCATAAGCGTAGTCTGCTCGGCATGTAAACTTTGCCAACTCTCCTTTTCTCATGGATGCTATGCCAAGATCCCATGCTTTAATTACTTGACCTGTGAAAATAACAAAAGAATAATATACATGGATCTAGAGTCTATCTATAGACAACAGGGCTTTTGAAAAATATTTTTACATGTGGCTGAAGAAAGGGTAGGTAAAAAACAGCTGATTTGCTTTTATTAGTCTATACTCAAACTTTATGTCTAGTGTTATAAAGTAATTTTTCATTTTGAGATAAGAAACCCTGAATTGAACTAAATCAACAAGGCCTTAGCCTAAGGCCTAAAACTTCATTTCACATTTATTTAAACCACAGATGAACATTATAGATCTACGTAACATGCAATGAAGAAAAATGAAAATGGTGTCATTTGAAATGAACAAAAAGAAGCTAGCCAGTTATCAATATTATTAGGTAATCTATCGTTTTAGCGTAATCAATTCGGCTGCAGTAGTAATGTGCGGGAGAGGGAGCTGATGAATATATTTGTTTAAATAAGTTTATTTAAGTAAAATTTTACAAAATATCACAGATAATTGATTTAAAATAACAAACAGTGACCAAAACAATTTAAATAACATGAAACTAACTTTAAACTAGGTGTTTGAGATAAATATTAGTAGAAAAAAAAACAGCGGCCATCTTTCCAAATAAAATTTAGAGAAGGTTCCCTGGATAAAAATGTCTATTCGTATGTATATTGTGTTGACTTTGTTGTTTAATATACATACCAGTCTTGTTTAATATAAGTAAGACAGAGGGCCGTCTTCTTATCTTTAATTTCATTTTCAAGTGAAATGAAGGCTATGTATGTATGTACATCCAAGATCTCAAAAAATTTTGGGAGGTCCAACATTTACTAAACCCTTTTGTATTGATTAGGGGTCGTCCATAAATGACATTACAATCGTAGGGGGGAGGGGGGGGTCGGTAATTTTGTGACGATGTGTGATGAGGGGGAGGGGGGGGGGGGTTCAGATGGTGCGACGTCACACTTTTGCTTTATAGATAAGAAATGTTAGAAAACGAATTTTAGACATTATTTAGCTTTTTAGAAAACAGTTTTAATAAATTATAATAGGAATTGATTAAAATACTATATTTTGACATATTTCAGACAAGATTTTGGAAAAATATTGATGTTTTAAAAAAAAATCAACTGCAATTTTGAGGGGGGGGGGGGGGGTTGTAGGCTGATGTGTGACGCCATTTTAGGGGGGGGGGGCTGACTTTTTGTGACAACGTGTGACGGAGAGGAGGAGGGGAGGTAAAAATCGTCAAAAAAGCGTGACGTCATTTATGGATGACCCCTTAACTTGTCAATTATTAGGTCGTCCATATTCCTCATAAATGACGTTGGACTCAAAATATGGGACGGTGTAAAATATTTTTTCAAAAATGATGAAGAATATATTCGTTTTCGTTAGAAATTGTGATTAAGGGTTCGGGTATAGTAGAACTGCGATATGGTATTAAATCATCATCTTGCTTTTAGTAACTATTGGGTGAGAGGTTAATTGTCGGGAAAGTATGACGTCATTTATGGGCGATCCATTTAATTAAGCCTAGTTGTTTATTTTGTCTGTAGACATTAGTCTTAGGCCTACACTTTTTCTGAATTAAGATTATTGTGTTTTTTAAAATAGGTTCAAATTTTAATTAGTTACATTTGAATACCACATGGTTTGTTGTTTTTTTTTCTTTGCCTTCTGCTGTCATCAGTTTTTGATTTCTTCAGTAGTCAATGTTTACCCCTCCCCACCATCCATTATTACAAAAAAAAACACCCACTATATGTGTCATAGCGTAGATATATAGAATTAGACTAGATGAGTAGAGGTTACTAAGGACGGTACGAACTTGACGGTAGACGATTTGGTGCGAGAGTATTGTGCGCGTGTTCAATAAAATATGTGTGGCGTGAGCATGGTGCGACAATGTACCGATGACGTAAGATGCAGCAGTGAAGTTAGTTGGGGGTTAGATATAGTAGAAGACGGACGTATTATTTGATATTGTGAAAATGATCTATAAGTGTGTGTTAATTAAGTTCATGTTATTTCATAAACTAAGTTGTTGACATTGTTAATTAGTGTCTGCGGAACATAAGAGTGATTCCCGTCCTCCTCACGAGTATAATAGTTGCCGTATGAATAGTAGTAGATCAGAATATATTGAGATTATATATAAACCCCGCATCACAATATAGTGATATCTCCCTCTAGAAAAAAACTAGATCAACGTATAGTTTGTAGGAAAATTAGAATCTATCACTTATTCGTCTGTTAAAAAAAAGAAATACGTCATATTTCTCAACCACGCCGTTTCATCCCCCACTAAGCACAACGTCACAAAGTTCGCGGCGCGCGTGACGTCATTTGTCATTAGGCTAATGTTTAAGAAAGATACCGCGTAATTAAAAAAAAATCAAAACAGGCACTAAATCACTATGGCGATGAGACTTTAACGACTTTTAGCCTGACGAATAGATCTAAATAACTTTAGTTCGGTGAATTATATAGGTGTTTAATTTATTACAGTGGCATGATGTTCTCCCTCTACTATACAAATTCACGTGCTTTTAATTTCTGCAACCTGCTGTCCTGAGACGTTCGGCTCTAAAATGCCCGTGACACAGCGGCTTCGGTAAATGCATTTAGGCTCCCGGTCCCACCTGTAAACGTCTGTCCTTTAAGCTCCACGCAAAACGTGTGATTAATATGTGGACATAAGCGGCGCTTGTGCTGGTGTCAACAGGGGCCAAGCTCAGGTCTTAAAGGTGCTCCGCACTTCATAAAAGACAAAATTGATGTTCAGATATCGTCGGACTCTGGCGTTTTGCCGACAGCCGTACTCCTAATGCACAGTCTTAGAGGCTGTCCACTGCTAACAATATTTTATGTTAAATTCAAGCCTATACTGAGCTGTGGCTTTACATTAGCTCAGTGGCGTAGCGAGGTCGAGTGTCACCCGGTGCGGCACTTAATGGTGTCACCCCCCAGAGGCGACAAACTTTCAATTTTCGATTTGTCCCATTTTACCTGCTAGTCAATAATTGTCTTGGAATCTTGTCGAATATTGCTGCCATGAGCTACTTGGTTTGAGCCTTGTTGTCAGAAGTTATTTCATTTGGAGTCAATATAGTGCGGTCTATTTTCGTCGGTAGGCATTTAATGGCAGGCCCTTTTTGGCGGGAATGATGTGCTGAGGTTGTTTAACACCGCTTAGTACAACAGGCATGCAATAGTTATGAACAAATGTATGCATGAAAACGAACGCTTTATGTTCCTCATTTTCATTGAGCACAGCTTTATAGAAGATTCCAAAATAGACGTCACGCATCCCCCCCCGACCACCCTGCGTAAGTTGACGTCACATTAGCATAGCATATGTGACATCGTTTATGGACAACCCCATATAACTCATCTTGGGTATTTGGTATCAACATTTTGACAACAAAGGTTATTCAAAATGTATATAGGACTTGACATCTACCATAAATGACATCGCGCACTTAAGGGGTGGAGTAACTGGTTTAGAGACGACCTTTTACGCGGGAAGTGGGAGGGGTAAGAAACGTGAAACGTTATGTATTTCGCCTAATACAAAAATGCTAAAAATATTTTTCATTAGAATTATGGCTTAACTTTTTAATAGACAGGGCAAAAAGGTAATTTTCGACATTACGACTATTTCGTGACGGCGAAAATGGGGGGTGGGGGGAGGGTTAAGTTAAAGAGAGGTCAAAAAACGGGACGTCATTAATGATTAAATCACTAATTAAAGGAAAAAAGCATGAAAATAGGAAACAAACAATAACACAAACAATAAGAATGAACTCAAACTAATATTTAAGTAAACATTAGATATGTAGTGGTAGCTCTATAAAAATAGGGAGTATCTTAATGTATAAAAATTGCATCTCATAATAATAATTCTAGAACTGATGTTTATTGTCAGTCAATTAAATAGTTTAAAGGGCAGAATTTTAAAAAAAAACGCATGCTTTGTATTTAAACACAAGACTAACCTATTTAATAGCAAACATCAATACATTTCCATACAAATAGAAATTAAAGGGAAATGACTCAAAATAATATTTTCTTAAGATGGCCGCTGTTTTTAATAGCAAATTTAGTATCTGTAACATCGTTGTTAAACTTTAATTTCCTGACATTTTTATTGATTTAAACCTTAAATGTGGTTTAATATTCAATTATCTTTAGTATTTTAGTAAAATATGCAAAAATATATCCATATTTAAGCCATATTTATTAGTTACCTTATCCCTACATTACTAGTGACGGCCGAATTGATTACGCTCCGCTAAAGCGATAGATTACCTATTATTATTATAGGCTACCTAATTTATTAATTTAATCTAGACCTAGAAGAAAATCTAGAAGTAGGTAGATCTAGATTGTAATGTAGATGATCTCAATAATCTCATTGTAATGTGAATGTGATTCTATTCTACCGACTGAGAACTGGGGGTACAATACTGTTCCAGTTATTTTTATTACCTTTCCCTAAATTAAAAGTGAAATGTTCGCCCCTCTCTCTGCTTGAATCAAATGGAGTTCCGTCCAGTAGAGTGCCAACATAATGAACTTTAACTTTGTCGCCTTTCGATGGTCTGTCTTCTCCTTCGCCTTCTCTCAAAATTTCTTTTAGTACACCGCCGTCCTGTTTCTCTGTGAGATCCACACCAGGTCCAGAGCTGTGATTATTGGTATTTTCAGCAATTGCTTCAGTTTCCATGGTTTCGGGTTCTGTAGATGCCATACTTTGCATGGAATTAAAAACCGGTTGTAAATATTTCTAATTAGATCTAGATTTTATAAAATGCGAGAATCACTGCTGTATGTAAACCAACACGCTTCCAGTTCTGCTTTGAATTACTGGAAATTTCGGTAGGCCTAGCTCCTTTTGTTCGTTAAAGGTAAAAGGGACATAACACAAATCCATATGAGTGGTTTCCCTTGGAATCTAGAACATGCGCAGTGTTATTGTTTTGTTTTTTTATAGAAAAATATCGTAGGCAAGGGAAGATAAGTTATGACTTTGCAGTTCATGGGTCACCGGCTCTTCCACACTGTATAGAATCTAGATTAGACTTGATTCTAGATCTAGCATCATTCTTTTTTACATAGATCTAGAAATCTAGATCTAGATTCTAGAAATCTAGATCTGAAACTCATCATAGACTAGATCTACATTCAGTAAGCCTTCGATCTAGATCTAGATCTCTATATCGGCTGGTTTAGGAGTTTACTCAGTTTAGGCCTAAATTAAACTAAATTTAGTCATTTTAGTCATTTTTTAGTGGGCCCCCTCGAGTCTACAGGGTACACAGTGATTCACATCTAGATCTAGAAGTCTACTAGTTTTACATAAGCAAGAAATCTTGTTGATTAATTTTATTTTTATTGTTGAGTATTTGGAGTATTTGTAGTTGTAGACTTACAGTTACAGCCTACACTCATAACATTTATTAAGACTTCTGAATACTGATGACTGATGGTTTATCAAGAGAAATCAATGACTATTGATACACACAGTCTACGTTCATGCCATTCATATCCGTTACATGCCCACGTATTTATCGGCTAAACGTTATCGTGAGGCATTTAAGTTTTTTCAAGACCAACGGGATCAGAATGGCAGACTCAGATTTAAACCCTAATGTAGAAACAACAACAGGCTTATTGCAGTACAACAAAGCAAGAGCTTCACCTAGAAGTTTTTGCCAAACTATGAATGGACAGAGTACAGCTGGCATTATAGGTATTAAAAAATCATAGTATTTGTTAAATGTACACCAATAATTCAATTTCATAATAAAGGTTATTGCTAATTTTAAAGTTAGTTATCAAAAAGCAAATGATAAAAATTTTAGTATTGAGAATTGCAAGCAGATACTGAGAAGTACCCTACATATGAATATGATCTTACAGTTACATAGGATGGATTTGTTTGTGGGGTTTTCAATACTTTTATGACAGCAGGATTTCATCTATGTAAAGCCTCCCTAAAAGAATTTTTATAATTCCTCAAAAGGTTACTGTATATGTATCACAGAAGTAGCAGATGTTTTTTTTTGTTAGTCCAACTACAGTGAAATAATTTTTTGTTTAAATTTAGAAGCAGTGTGGAAAGTAATTTAGTAAAGTTTTTTACTGTTGCATTTACATTTTTTCTAACTTTTCATTTATTTGTTATATCTTCCTCAGTTATTGGAGATGAAATACTCAAGGGCCAAACATTAGACACAAATTCCAATTTTATCTGTAAAAAATTGTTCTCTTTGGGAGTTAAAGTGCAAAAGGTACATAATTAGGTGCTTTTTTCCCACGTTTTCTTTAACTTGCTTTCTCTGTCTGTTTTTCCAATCCAATCTTGCGATCGAAATTTCTGGCACTTCCCAGTTAGCTAGCGCGCTGAAATTTTCAGGGAAGCTTTCTTTTGGATGACCATAGAATATTCAATTGTTATTATTACTAAATTGATCAATGGAAACATTTTATTGAGCATTTTAGACCGCTATATAATCTATATATATAATTCTCCTCTGCGAGCCATTAGAAAAAAAACCAGCGACGCGTAGCTCGCCTCTCTCTTGCCGCGCGCAGTGAAGCGAACGATCCCACGTCGCGACAGGCTTAGGGGCAGATAATTTAGTTTGAACCGACTTTAAACTTACAGGAGGTAACTATTACCACTGGTGGCCAGTTTGGGGGAGACGATATGGTCGAGTGGTTGGGCACACGATTGCTATCCCACTCGACACGGGTTCAAATCTATGTGTTCTAGTCAGTAACCAGCCCTCGTCCTAACCGCTATCAACTAACCTCTGACAATCATTCACTTGCGATTGAGACCGAAGAAGAAAGGGTCTCTCGTTTTTTACGAGTTGTCTTTTTACGAGTTGTCTTCGTTTACCCAAAAAAAAGTGAAAATGAAAAGATAAAATCGATAGCAAGATTTCAATGCAAACAAACAGACAAAGACTAAAAAGTAGAAAATAATAATCATTAAAAAAGTTTAAAAAAACCCACGTTTTCTGATTGAACTAAAAAGTAGAAAATAAATACTATACATCACAATAATGCAAGCGATCACTCTACTATAAGTAAATGTTACCGTTATCATATTAGAATGTTGAGCAGGTTTTTTAAAGGACAACTATTAATATCAATCAAATATTGTTTAAAATTGCTTTTTATACATTGTAATAATTTTTCTGTTATTAATTAAAGTAAATTAAGAGATTATTCAGCTACAAGAAATTTGGGTGACAGCTGGTTTTGCCTTTGTTTACTGAACATAAAATGATAAATTCTTCAATCTAATGAAAAGTGGAATTTATCTTTTTCAAACATCTGCTTGTGAAACCTAAGGTTTTAACAATTATTCTTCCCCTTTTGAAAATTAGGAATTGAGAAAATCAAATTTTTATTAATCATTTTAGTATAATATGTTTTTTCAATAGTTTGAACCAAAGTTTTATTTTAATTACAGATCTCAGTCATTTGCGACTCTGTGGATACAATAGCAAAAGAAGTGGAATTGTTTTCAAAGCAGTTTACGCATGTTATCACTTCGGGAGGAGTGGGACCTACCCATGATGACATGACATTTGATGGTGAGTTATTGCCCCTGATTAATGAGCATAATCTTTTCCGTCACTAAGTTCTTTTATTTTCATTTGAATTTTTAAAAATCTCCAAACTAATTTTAGGATGAAATAGGCAAAAAGTAATATTTTAAATAATTGCAATTAATATTTTTACTTAAAAATGATTAATATATGTAGTGTAGTTTGGTTGAGTGAGGGAATCCAGCTCTGAGAGTTATCTGCCTTGAGTTGAGTGAAAGTGGGATTCACATACTCCATTGCTGCTGAGGTCATATAAAAAGATAAACTCTACTTCATCTCCAGTGTACAATCAAATTTTTTGTTCGTTTACTGAAAGGTGTGGCCAAAGCATTTAATCTAAAGACAGAAGCGCACCCGGAACTGGTGAAGTTAATCACTGAGTGGTTCCACACCACAGACATGAACTCGGCTGAGATGAAGATGGCTAAGGTCTGAAGTCTAAGAAAACTATGTTTAAATTATAAACTTAGGTTAGATACTCTTTCACAATTTTTCATGTCTCACCTCTTCACTTTTAAACAAAAGAATTAGTAATTTGTTTATTTTAGTTAAAAGGAAATAAGAGAAACTAAAATTTTCTATAAACTAAATAAATTTATTAATTTATTAATTACATTTTTTATTTAATAATCTTTTTTTTCTAGTTGATAAACAATTTATATTTTATTTATTTTTCTTTATTATATCCTTTACTGTCATATTTATTAAAAAAATAATTTTTGATTAGAATTTAGCAATTGTTTTGGTAGGTTCCACAAACAGCAAAACTGTATTTTGGTGTTGACCCTAAAACAAAACAACAATCAAAATACCCACTGGTGTCTGTCCACAATGTCTACATGTTTCCTGGTGTCCCTAACCTGCTGGAGAAGGCTTTCACTATGCTGGGGGTAAGTCAGTGCATGTAAAAAACTTTATTTTAGTTTCTTTTTTTTTTTTACTCATTATATTTTCACCTTCTACTATCTTCAGGTCTCCATTTTAGTTTCTTTTTTTTTACTCATTAAATTTTAACCCTGTACTATCTTCAGGTCTAACTTTTTTTATTTATCAGTTAGTCATCATTTCATTATTGGGTAGGGTAGGACAAAGAAGCAAAACTTTAGACAACAAACCTATTGTTGTTGTGCAACTGGGGGTAAGGGATGATTATGTTAAAATTGTGCTTGTTTGTTTGGTTTTTGAGCACAACAGGTGTTTAGTTACAGTTTTAATAATTTTTTCTCTTATTTTTATAAGAAACTAGGCATGCTGCCCAGCTTCGCTTAGGCTTTCGAAAACATTGAGAATTTGAATGCTTAATTAATTCGCCCGAGGGTCGGTCTACGACCTCAGGAGTTATGAAGAGGTTCCTCCGTGGACATTTTTTTTTCTATTTATAGCTCATATAAGGCGTCGGTCAGTCGAGGTCAGTTTTGACCCCATCATCGTAGACTTTTCGGCCAACCGGCCCCCGTGTTCTGTCGCCCCAAGGCAAGATCCTGCCAAATTTGAAGCGCCTGCGGCGCCGGGAAGTGCCCTATCGGGCACCCGACAACTTTGCCTTATATATTATAGAGATTAGCAAATTGCATAGATAAACAAAGATTTCAATAAAGTAAATAAGGCCTGAAGTACTTTAGTATAGAAATGTATTATTTGAATAGATGAATCTAGAATATCTAGATCTAGAATCCAAATAAATAAAATAAATTTTATGAGTTTAGGCCGGAAAAATTGTATTGTATACATTTCATAGTGTACGTAGATCTAAATCAAATTTGAATGAAATAGTTCATTTCTTTTTATTCTAAACACGGCAGATGACGTCATTAGTTAATGTATAAGCCATAGTGACGTCACAGTTTTATGCGTTCTTTTTCACATCTATTAATGCTTTTCCGGTTACATAAATAGTACTGTTTCTCTACATTCAAATACGCCTTTAATTTTTATTTTTCTTCTTTAAATAAAATTGTGGTTATACATTTAAAACATCTAACATATTATTTTCAACAAAAGTCCGTATAAAGTTCTCCATATATCGCTGCCGTTTCTGACGTGATGTCCCGCAAATTTGCGGACAGACAGAGAGAGAGAGAGATGTGCGCACATGGGGAATTATATATTAGGATAGCAGTTATCAACTGCACCTTGATCAATCTAACAACAAGCGAGAATCAGTTAGGAAATGTTTTTTCTCTACTAATTAGGTGCTAAATACTGTTAAAGGTTTTCTGTTCAGGATTGAATCAAATGATAATTTTAAAAGTTTAGAAAAATAAAAAATAGAAAAACGGTCTTATATATGTATTTCATTTGTCATGTTGTCAAACAACAATCTGTATTGTTGAAATGTTATTATTGAATTTCCGTTATTTTTACTTATTTGAAAACATTGTTATTGGTTGTCTCCCTTGATTATCAATAAATGGGAGGTAACTAACACAAATTAATATTTGTCTTATAACTATTTTCAACTTTGCAAGGCATCTAAACTGACTAAACAGTGAAATATTGTTACTAATGGCCTTAAACACTTGCATCATTAAGTTTGACATTGTATAATATTTATGCCCAAATATTAAAAAATTCATCTTATGGCAATTGTGATCCTCCACTACAGAATTGAGAGCCAAAAATTGGAGGACATTTTGGTTTGTTTTTACAAGCTTTTATTTAACTCACTTCCTCTGTCGTCTGTCTGTCGTCAGTCTAGATCGAAACGCAGGAGTGAAAATTCGGTCACTTCTACTTGACCGATACGATTCACATTTGACATGTGGGTCAAGACATGAAGACAATGCAATCTGAAATTAAATTTGACTTAATTGGATGCCTAATAAATTTTTTATGAATGAATTAAAATTTGGACCGAATTAGTAGGCATAAAGAAAAGCGTGGGTGTCTTCCTTAACATTAGTAAAGGTATCCAATAGATACTAAAGTGACCCACGCTTTTCTTTATAGTTATTTAAGGGCATGGGCGGGTGATGAGTACCAACTTCCTTATTTCCGAGTCTAAAGATATAATATTTGGCTAATAGTTATAACTCAAAGGGTTAAGCATAAAAATATTTTTTTTAAATTTTTAAATCCTCCGTTGTCATGGTGATGGCGGCCATATTGGATTTTATTGACGATTTTTAAGTGGAAATAACTCAAAAACGGATTGTACAAATTTCGTGAAAACTTAATATAGTCTGAAGACACATGTGTTTAAGACTTCTGATAGATTACATTTTCAAAAATGAAGATAATTTTTTTTTTACTTTTTTTTCCCATACATCACTGTAAAAATTTCATTATTTCGTCCAATTTTTTCACTATTTAAAAAATAAAAAAAAATTTTAATTTTTTTTTCAAAAAGTGTTCTATCAGTTTTATTTGAACATATATACAGCGTAACTGGAGCAAATTTAGTTCGATTCTGATAATTATTAACAAAGTTATTTCAACAATGGTACAAAAAAACATCAAACTGAGAAAAACGCAAAAAACCAACGAAAAGTTGCACAAAATGAAAATTTACCGCTCTATGTCATTAAAATTGACCATATTCATAGCCTGAAGTATGGTGCTGCTGACTATATTCCTTCTTAGCTTGTTCATCTCATAGTTTCCTTTTTTTTGGCACTCTTTTCCTTTACCTAAAGCTGTAGTCAGGCTGTTGTCAAGGCGTCTTTTTTGGCGTCCTTCACTTATTCTTCGACTATGGTTTCCTTGTTTTGACAGCAGTGCCATAACATGCATGTGCCCAAAATTGAATTCTGCTATCGCAGAAACAGCAGCATATTTTGTATGATCCAATACCTAAAGCCAATGATGCTAAGACGATGGTTTTGTTTATTTTGAATGGCCTTGTTCTGGATTCTTTTGCAGTTGTATACTTACTGTTTACAACATTTTTACAACTGCCACACCATGCTTGAAGGAAATCCTTTACACTTTTTTCATCAATAATAGCAACTATATCACAGTTACACTCTGGGCAAGTAAATCACCGTCAACAATAATTCTGCATGGCTGTGGTTTACAATTAGCACTATCAGTACTAGATGTAGCATTGCTTTCTTCTGTCTGTAAAAACTGTGTCTTATATTGCAGGAGTTTCTTAGCAAATGGGCATATTGCATCTGCATCAGTACTTGTCTGAATAGTGGTAGATTGAGTACAGGTAGCTGCAATCAGATGCATTCAGACGTGCCTTGTTTTAGACTTTACTTAGATCTAGATGTGTGTATCTATTTTTAGCGAGTGTTTGATTCTACCCATAATCGAAAAAGAAACAAATTTAATTATCTCACTGGTTATGATAATTCACGCAACGTAATCTAAACTGTTAATAATATATTGAATTGAAATAATTATATGTTAAAATAATGTAGACGCTTAGAGAAACAAAATTAAACCAAATCAAACATCGCAACGCGCTGAAACTAAGGAAATGTTTACTACCGAAGCGAAACGACCAATCGCTAGCTAGCTTCCGCCGTTGAATGCCAATGAAACAATTGAGGTAAAAAATTTGCATACCGGAAAAACCCGACTTAGTAAAATAAACAACTTTATGACGTACAAAAATAATCACATTAAAATAGGTATTTTGATTGGTTCTTTAATTTTAGAACAAGTAAAGAAAGGAGGTCACGGCCTTTCCATTGATATGAAACACATTAGGCTTACGCGAAGCCTAATAGTACTTTTCTAGGTCGAAAAATGGCTATTTTTACAAAAATAATAAACAAATGACGCTGTACACACTACTTTAAACCCGGTTTTTCATAAATAAATAATGCTTTTAGGGTCATAACAATGTCATTTTTAGATTCAACGATGGTTATTCAGTATAGATCAAGTGAAAGTTGGAAATCGATGATTTAGTAGATTTATGACGAAAAGTACACCCGCCCATGCCCTTAAATAGTAGTCTATAATTTATTTTCTACTTTTTAGTCCATTATTACATAAAAGCTTGTTATTAAAACGTTTTTTATCAATTTTTTTTTACTTTTAATTATATATCTGCATTTATGCACGCATTTGGGATGGTTTGGTTGGATGGTATAGCGTGCAACTGTTAACATGAAAGTTCACAAGTTTGGTTCCGTGCCTTGAGTCCATAGTACTTAGTACGTTCCTGAGTCCACTCAACTTAAATGTGTACCTTACTCAAGTTTGAGAAACAACAAGCGGCGGGGTTAAGTGCTGATGGCACTATCCCTTCTTTTGCAGATATCACCGAAACAGGTGAACTCTACTTCATCGGCTCTGTGGACCGCCAGGTTCAAAGGTTGACTTTAAAGAGTGGAAAATTAATATGCTTGGTATATGATATCAGTATCACACTTTAAACAGTGATAAAACTATAATTACTCAGGGACTATTAATGTGATTTAAAATGTGTTAAGACTGTAAACTTTTGAATCAACCATAAGTTGTTGTGAAGGATCGCAATTGAATTGGTGCTAAAGCCAGTTTCATAAAATTAGTAAGAAATTATATTTTTTTCCAAAGATTCATATGTAAATAATTTCAGTTTCTTTTGAGTTCAAATGTTCCTTTATTACATTAGCACCAGTCATTACATATTTAGCTTCAGTATACTCACAAAGCTTTGCTAACATTCAATCTTTTAAAATGTTTTTTTAAACTTAGTTTGTATGCTTCTGTAATATAAATGTTGTTGCCTTCTTCGCCCATAATTGCTTTTACATATTTTCTACCATTTGAAAGACTGTCTTCTGTTATTACAATGTCTTAAGTTGTTTCCATGCTGGGGGAAAGAAACCACAACCGGAAATTTCGCTACACCCAAATGAAATAAAAAGAATAATAAAAAACAAACGCAAATGGGGTCTGTCACACACCCTCACTACAATAAAGATGATGGCTATTATAATCTGACACGAAAACAACAATACATAATCTTTCGACTTAAAACAGGCCACAACAGACTAAATCAACACATGCACAAAAAACTGAAGGTTGGGTGTGCCGAAATGTGCCCTTGTGGCAAGGCCCCGGAAAATACGGAGCACGTACTTCAGGAATGTACTTTGTATAGCCAGGCACGAGTCAGACACTGGCCCCTGCCCACCCCACTCAGGGAAAAATTATATGGGGCACCTGCCAAACTGGAGACCACAGTCCGGTTTGTCCACGAAGTTGGACTTGTTGTCTGAATCCTCCACCATATTCTCAATTAAGAACGAAGAAGAAGAAGTTTCCATGCTTTATGGTCTCATACTGTCTTCTTCTAAACAAATCTGACGCTCAAAACTCAGTCCCTTGGATTTTTTTACCATGGATATTTTTAGCTCATTATGGGTCAAAACTTCTAAGGATTCAACCTTCCAAATCAACATACTAATGAAATGATAAGATAAACGGATGTTCAATACATTTAAATCATTTTAATCTGAGTATCTGCAGACCAGGTGTTACTGTAATATTATACAAGAATTTACTTAAATCCATTTATATTTTTACTTTTCTGTTAAACTATTTGCGCCTCACCAAGCATAAGTCCTTGCTCCGAAATTTGAAAATTGTTGAGTTAGCCCATGACGTTTTCACTATTAACAAAAAATTAGCTGTCACATTTGAATAAGTATCAATTCTTTTTTTTTTTATTTAAAGTTTTTAATTTCTATTTTACTTTTAGCATCTGTTTCTTTTTTTTTTAAACTTTCAGCACCTGTTTCAAAATCCTAATGTTTGTTTCCACACTGAAGAGCTCTTTGTGAATAAAGATGAGGCGTCCATAGCAGCCTTGATAACTCAGGTGGCCGACAAGTTCAAGGAGAGTGTTGTCATAGGCTCTTATCCTGACATGATGAACAGGTAATCACTTGTAGGCTAGACTAATTAGTTAGGTTGATAGTAGTATCAAGTTTAGTGTTAGAGACAGATCAACAGGTGATAACATGTAGGCTAGACTAATTAATAATTATGTTAATGATGATATAATTTTTTAGACATGGGTTGACAATGTTAGGTTGGTAGTAGTATCAAGTTTAATGTTAGGGACAGTCATTAGGGTTATTCAATCTTAAACTTGTTAACTATCTAAAAGAAAACGATTTTCTAACAAAATAAAGTCCAAAGTGGGCTTAGTGCCAAATTCAACTACATTTTAATAGAGAATCCTTTTTATCTCATTTTTTGAGTACTTAAAAGAGTCTTTAACCTTAGTATTGAATTTAAAAAAATGATCTTTCCTGTTTAGCTATTATAAAGTAAAGCTGACATTAGAATCAACAAACCCAAATGCCTTACAAGAGGCCTCAAGAGAGTTAGCACTGAAGATGCCTGAAGGTAACTTATTTGATACTCATTAAAACATCAGCAAGATGATACAGTACTTAAGTTTTAATTAATACAGCATAGTTAGCATTTTGATTAGGGTGTGGTCTGGGTAATGGCCAGGTTTTGTATAGTGATACTTACAAATATATAGATTCAAATGTACCATTAACATTTTAATAAGTGCCACTTGTTTTGATGATTTTAAGTTTCCATAACTTAATGCTAATTTTATAGGACTTTGTTATCTTTGATATTTATTTATGAATATTGTGAGTTCTAATATGTATGATATCCGAAGTTACCATATGATCCTTGATATAACTTGGTAACACTTATTAAAACCCTATATGCTGTAACTTTCAAAATTATTCTGTGAAAAATATACATAAAAATTATCTTATTTCAAATCCCATTGAATGATGTTCTTTTTTTTATCTGACCATTCAGGCTCAGTTGTGATCTATAACAAAGATCCAGTGGACACGGCCGTCCAGTGCGTGTACAGAATCCTTGAGGACCCCAGCTTAGATGACCATTACATCAGCTGTGTTCGTCATGCGGTAGAGACGCTTGAGAAGGCCTTGGATACATACCCGTAAGAAGGATGGTAGCCTGCTGCTATATTTTTATTCTTCTTAATGCTTTAAAATAATAATTACATAAACTAATTGAAATCAAACAAAAAAATTTGAAATATTACTTTTTAAAATTACGTTTAATTTAATTTAAATCATTTATAATTCATTAGGCTGTAAATATGAACTGATAAATGTATGTTGTAAATTATTTAAAATTTGTGCATTTTTAGGTTGTCTGATATATGTATTGGATTCAATGGTGGCAAAGACTGTACTGTACTTTTACATCTGTTTTATGCTGTGGCTAAAAAGTAAGTTTATTTAGAATTATATATCTATCTATATTTAGAAATAAGCTTTTTAAATAAATGCTAATCATGGATTTAGTGTATTAAAATGGGACAGCATGGTCAAAAGTCTCAAGCTCAAATCCGGGTTCAAGTCTATAGAACGTCCTTGAGCTCACCCAGTTTTAAAGGGTACCTGAGTTACATAAAGGAAAGTAAAGGCTGCTGGGCATAGGGCTGACCACAATATCCCTTCACATACCAAGGTCACAGAAACTGGTGAACTCTACTTCCTTTAGGTTTGAAAGGGAAATTTACTTTTTACATTCACTAGACTAGGTAAACAAAATAGTGGTTAAAGTAAAATTTTAAACAAATGTATGAGTATGGTTGTTGATGGTTATATATGAAACAAAACTATGATTAGCTTATTATCGCATAAAATGAAAATAGATGTCAAAACTATTGTTGTACTCAGTAGTTGTTCCCTTGATCAATAGAAAATATCCCAACTTTGAAGAGAAACTGCAAGCGTTGTACATCAGAAGTCGTTGCCCTTTCCCTGAGGTGGAGAAGTTTGTTCAGTTATCTCGAGACAGGTAAAGCTTAGTAAAAAAAACTTCTTGTAACAAACTATAATGTGATCATTTTGTATTAGATTTTTGTCCTATGATCACAGAGGATCTAAGGCACTAATCTTTAGTCTCTTGTTTCTTTCTTTTGTGGCTTAAGTTATCTCCCCTGTCACTACCATTCTAGAAAAGTGCATCAGTTAAATTTAGATATCATCTAGCACACAGGTTCCCTAACTTTTTTGATTGGCGACCACTTGTGATACATGACCCACATACTGTTAAAAATAATATTATTGTTGGGTTTTACATACAAATTGCCCAGAAAACCCATTACGACCCCTCCCCCTCCAAGGGATATGCCACCCATAGATTGGGAACCTGTGCTCTAGCATTTATCTGTTCAGTATGACCAGTCAATTGTAATTCATTTAAAGTGAAGGCAATTTTTTTTATAAAACAACTTTACTATTTTTTTGGGGCCAACTTTTTTAGGTACAAATTAGAAATGATCCACTATGATGGAAGAATCAAAGAATGCCTGGGAACTCTGGCAGTAAAACATCCAAATATGAAGGCAGTCATTATGGGAACAAGGGCCACTGATCCTTGTGCTAGTAAGTATTAATTAGGGAGAGATGCATGGTTTTGAGGTAGAGCATGCGTTTGCTGACACAAAAGTCTTGAGTTCCCTGCACAAAGTTGTTCCCAGATTGAAGTGAACTCCATATCCTTATCAGGTGGTAGAAAAAAGTAAAGGTGTAGAGGAAACATATTTAGCAACTGACGTGTGAGAAATTCTTAATTCACATCCTGTTTGACATAGATTATTACGCCCCTGTGCAGGTTGTTCCCTTTTTGAAATTGACAGTCCATGGGGCAAATGAAGTAGAGGCTATGAGTTCACCTGTTTCTGTGACATCTGCAAAATGTGGTCAGCATTATGCCCAGCCACCTTTACTTTCCGTAACGTGAGTTACGTACCCATCATAACTGGGTGGACTCAGGGTTGTTCTACTGACTTAAACCCAGATTCAAACAAGACTTTTGGGTTAGCAGTCTAGCACTCTACCGCTAGGCCATGCCATCCCATCCACCCCTTCATGCCAGTGTTATATAAAATCACCCAGCCCTTGTATAACATGTTTTGTAAGTATATCTGTATCTACTGTTTCAGGTCAGTTGCAAGACTTCTCCATGACAGATCCTGACTGGCCACAGTTCATGCGTGTCAACCCACTCCTACACTGGCACTACAAGCATGTCTGGCTCTTCCTGAGGCAGCTATGTCTACCATACTGTAGTTTATACGACCGAGGGTATGTTCGTCATTTACACAAACTTTCAATTTATCAACTACTTCATCAGCCCAAAATATAAAATTTTAGGAAATTTTTTATTAGGCATTTTGTTTACTTTCTGGTTGTAACTTCTAAAATCTTAAAATAAGCAAATGTAGGCCATCTCAGCCTAGTTAAGATTTGTTAGGCTGAATGTTGACATTCAAGCAGAAAAGATTTTATGATAAGCTCAGAAATTTTTACCCTAAACACACAGTGATAGGCTGATAGGCTTTTTTCGCTGGCCTTTTTGTATTGCTAAAGTTGAAACAAGTTAGTTCTTTGGTTGAAATCCATGTGAAAATAAAGAGCTATTTTATCACTCACTTTTTGATAGTTTATATTTAGGGAACGACCCTAAGTTATTTTTAGATGTATTTTAAACTGTAGAAACTGCATTAACGAAATATTATATGAAAGATTTTCTTTTTGTTTTATGCAAAAATATTACACCTGATAAAACTTTTCTCAAATCTTAAATTAAAATTATTATTTGTCTTACAAGCAGCAATAATTAACTTCATTTTTTTAAAACAAAATATTTCCAGGTATACATCTTTAGGTAGTATGGATAACACCCACCCTAATCCATTGCTCCAGTACGTGGATGAGAGAGGTATACTCACCTACAGACCTGCATACCTCTTAGATAGGGGAGAGAATGAGAGAGATGGCAGAAATAAATAGGAAGAAATAGTTATTTATTAAATGTTACATTCTATGCTAAGCAGTTATCTTAATGCATTTACATATTTAATGTATTTGTATATTTGTGATGAAAAACAAGAATTTGTAAATTTGCCAGTTGGTGTTAACGAAACAGATTTCCATAAAAATTGATTAAAGATTTTACTTATTGCTGATATTTATGTGATTTTAAAAAAATGTTTTAAATGCTGAGTTTATTAAAAATATTATAAAAAATTAGATTGTTTCAAGCTTCCAATTAGAATTACTTAACTGTTAGTTAACATGGATTAATTCATGGACTTCATTCAAATGAAAACCAAAAGCACTGTACTACAATATACTTATTAGTGCGTTTAATTTCTTTCACAACTTCACAATTTTAGATTATCACAATATCTTCTCTCATTTATCAACAACTCATTCCGTCTCGTTCTCATTTTTCTCAGATTCATCATAAGACATTTCTCTGTTCTTTTTTTTCTGTCTTTTTTGTTCCATTTTCTCTTCATGTTTTGCCATGACATGAACAGCCCTGGCCTGTGTTTGGTGTAACTTCTTCTCCATCTCTTCTGATTTCTGCTGATATCTTTTCACTTCCAATAGTGCACTGTTCAGTCTTTCACTTGCACTGATGGATGCATAGTCAGCTCCTAGATTGTAAAGAAAACGGTTATATTGAACGGAAAAAAAAATGCTGGAAAAGTTGTTAAAGCAATGCAAAGACACAGTCTTTTGGAATGCATAGAGTATAGTATAACATCTTTAAAAATGAACTGTGGGGTGGTTGGATGCTTGAGTCCACACAGCTCTAATGAGTACCCAACACATGTTGGGGAAAGTTAAGGTGGCTGGGCACATTATCCCTGTATATGCTGAATTCAGAGAGCTCTACTTCATCTACGATATTGACCGAACTGTTGGAAAGTGTCACTTTTAAATATAAAGTAGTAACCGCATAGAAATAAAAACATGGATGAAGGTTTGAGAACAAATATAAATCTGAATCTCCAATTAGGCATCCAGACAATCAGACATGAATTCCACTCAGGTGTGGTTAGCTCAAGCTAATTAAGGAAACAGCTAAATGTTTACTACATGTGGGCCTATATGTTGAAGTAAAAAAAAAACTACTGGTTCAGATTCAATCTGTTCCATTTACCATCTAATTCTTAATAGAAGTTAACGTTTCAAAGATGAAAATTGGAATCTTATTACAGGAATCTTGATAAAATATTTATTTAAAAAAACAAAACAAACATAAGTATAGAAATGACATTAGCAAAATGCAAAGTTTTAGATACCTGAAGCAAAAGCTACCTCCGCAGTGGCGTCTGCTAACTTTTCTGCACTGGAAAACAGAATAGCAAGATCCTGAAGAAAAACAAATTGAGAATTTAGCTTCGTGCTAATGTAATCCTAATATATAAAAGCCCAATGTGCGCACATCTCTCTCTCTCTCTCTCTCTTTCTCTGTCCGCAAAAAATTTTCGCCGGACATCACGTCAGAATCGGCAGCGATATATCGAGAATTTTTTACGGACTTTTGTTGAAAATAATATGTTAGATGTTTTAAATGTATAACCACAATTTTAGTTAAAGAAGAAAAATAAAAATTAAAGGCGTATTCGAATGTAGGGAAACAGTATTATTTATGCAACCGGAAAAGCATTAATATATGTGAAAAAGAACGCATAAAACTGTGACGTCACTATTGCTTATACATTAACTAATGACGTCATCTGCCGTGTTTAGAATGAAAAGAAATGAACTATTTCATTCAAATTTGATTTAGATCTACGTACACTATGAAATGTATACAATACAATTTTTCCGGCCTAAACTCATAAAATTTATTTTATGTATTTGGATTCTAGATCTAGAGATTCTAGATCTAGACTAAATCTAAATCTACGCAATAACTAGATCTAGACGTAGACGCTAAGATCTAGATTTAGACTCTAACTTCTCTAAAATCAATTCCAAAAATAAATTTCTATATTAGGACTAAACTATTTCAAGACTTATTTATTTTATTCAAAATCTTTGTTTGGAACTGGCTAATTTGGGATAAAAAAATTAATATGAAAGAATAGGCATATTCGCGTAAGTTAAGATTTTAAAATACGTGTTTCATTCTCCATATTTTTTAAGGTGCCTAAATAGCGAAGATGTTAGTGTACATTAATCCACGCAGGTGGTGCGTGTTCGAGACACGCCAAGTCAACTTGGTTAATGTATTTTTTTTTTATTATGCTCGGGCTAAACTTAAAAAAAAATTCTTTTAGGAATCTAGATCTAGATTGTCGGATGTCCGATAGGGCACTTCCCGGCGCCGCAGGCGCTTCAAATTTGGCAGGATCTTGCCTTGGGGCGACAGAACACGGGGGCCGGTTGGCCGAAAAGTCTACGATGAGGGGGTCAAAACTGACCTCGACTGACCGGTACCTAATATGAGCTATAAATCGAAAAAAAATGTCCACGGATAAACCTCTTCATAACTCTTGAGGTCGTAGACCGACCCTTGGGCGAATTAATTAAGCATGCAAATTCTTAATGTTTTCGAAAGCCTAAGCGAAGCTGGGCAGCATGCCTAGTCTATAATATAAACAACATGTTTTTAACACAAAAAATTAGAAATTAGTTGTACTGAGAAAATACTTGTACCTGTCTTTTCTTTTGGACTTCATTGATCTCATGACGAGCCTCCAGTATTATATCTGCTATCCGTTCTTCTTCAGCTGGATGGCCCAATATTGTCAACTGGTACTCTAGAAGTGCTATCAAAGCATCCATCAACTGTTTGAAAGAAAAAGATAGTGCATTATTATCACCACATCAATATGGTTCTGTAGTGTAATTAGACCATTGGATGATTGAGTATTAGAAAATCCCAGTACAAAGCCTGGGCCCTAAATTGAGAAGAGCCAGATCTTGCCCATGCATCAGGCCCTCTCTCTCCACACAGCTGATCAACCCAAGGGACACCTCATCAGCTTTAATAATAAACCATGTTAAAGGTTCCATTGTTAAAGTCATTAAGGGTTAACAACGGTTTTCACACACAAACTAGCAGAAGTCAAGCAGATATGCTCACTTTCTTCTTCTTCGTTCTTAACTTTAGTGTTGGGATTTCCCCAACAGAATTAAGTATACGTACACAGACTTCGATTTCTGCAAGCTTTTCTTTTTGGATTTGCTTCCATAACAAAAGGCAGCAGTTGTTTGATTTTGGAGTCGTTTCTCCTAGAAAAGTTGCTGTCCCCAGCTATCAAGCCTCATCTGCCCAAGGGTTTAAACTTGAGACTTACTGGTTTAGCAATGTGCTCACTGGTTTGTTAAATTAATACAATAAATCATAACTAACCTCACTGTATTCTTTCTCAACATCAATAATTTGGTAAACTGTCTGTGATAAAACAGCTGAGGTTCCATCAACTGCCATACCGACAGCATTTTTCAAACACTCTGCACTGTCAAGTCTAGGATCATCACGATTATAGTGCTGAAGATTAAAAATGTCAATGAGCATTAAAAAACATGTAATGTAAAGTAGTAAGTACATAAACACGTAAAAAGTAACTCTAAAGAGGAAAAATTAAAGTAGACTTTAGTTTTAGAAAAAATATCTCATGTAATATGTAGTTGTTGCAAACATATCAGTAATAAATATATATAATAATATAATTATTGCCGGGACTCATCATCAATCAATGATTCAATAATCAATAGCCACTAATTTGACTAATCACTGGCTTTTAGTGCTTTTAACTTCTGAAAATTTAAAGAATACAAACTTTAGACGCCTTAAATTTCTTCTCTGCTATGTATGGGTAAGGAGCATCAGCAACAACATGTTTTTTAACGTTGCTTTGTAGATCTATTTGCGGCGGATCATTTTCCAGATTCTCGCTGTCAGCAGACTTGGAAGTTTTATTTATTGTTTTAATACCCGGCACAGAAAGCAGAAGAAATCTTGAAATCGATAAATTAGGCACAATAAATCGTTTGTAGTGGTTTATTAATTTAGGAGTTTTCAATGATGTAAGTATAACATTTTGATTTGATATTGTTTTTGTAATATTTTTTAAGAGGACACCACAAATTGTACGCAAATGCACAAAGGAGGCTGCCATGTTTGTTTATATTTTTTAAAAGTTTTGTGTCGTTTCTTTTGATGAAAGTGCCAAATTAAATTATTTAAACGTTAATGAAAAAACCTATATAGATCTTGATCTATATATTATTTTAGAAAATATTGATTTATAGATTTTCATACAGTGTAGTATAAAGTTCTCTGAAGATTTTCTGCACAATACTGTCCCGAAAGACAAATTAAACTTTTTATTATTCAGCTTGCAAGGGAGGTCACAATGTAAACAATTTATAAAAAGATAAAAGTTTTTTCTTGGTGCTTTACCCTTGACCATTGTTTAACTATTTCATTCGATCATTCATTCATGATATAGAATTTTAAAAGATCTTAATTTAAAGTGTTTGAAAATAGATCTAGTCAACCCACACGTTATGATAACTACTTCGTAACCTGCTGTTTATACCAGACATATACTTATTTTATCTCATATCCTTTTTTTTTCTTTATTAACTGTAACATACAAAGATGTGAATAGTTGTATGCTTCTTAATAATCTTAATTCTTATGCTTGGTAGACTGATGTTTTAAAGTTTAAAGTAATCAGAGAACATTGTCCACACATTTATTTAGACACAGAAGCTAAACTCATGCAAGAAACTAAGACAAGACCAAATTATTTTTTTAAAAGATTTATTTCTCAACTTCAAAAACTCAAAAAGGAATTGAAATTCGATTTAATGGGTAAGTGATACATATTTTCTTTAAAAAAAAAAAAAAGAAAATAACGATTAAAGGCAATAACATTTAAACATAATTTGAAAAACTATCTATAAACAAACAAACAAAAAGAACATTAGATATTTAAAAAACAAAACAAATTTCAAAAAGAGAAGTTTGTCAAAAAATATGGAAAAATTGTAGTTGTTGTTGCCAGACTTAAATTTCTTTGGTCTGGTATTGTTAAAACAAATAAATTATTGACTTTAGACAATAATATTGTCTAAAAATGTTAATCAAATTTTAAAACAAATAATTGTCTTTGTCAAAAAAGTTTCTTGACTTAGGCAATAATATTGTTATTTTAAACAAAATCTTTAAAGAAAAATGTCTTTGTTTAAAAAAAAGTAGTCTAGAGTTAAGACAATAAAAAAAGTTAAAAAAAGGTTAATTTTGACTTAAAATAATAAGATTGTCTTTGTCAAAAACGTTGCTTGAACACAATTTAAAATTATAAGAATAATTATTGTCTTTGTCTAGGAAATTAATCATGACTTAAGACAATAAATTTGTCTAAAAAAAGGTTAGTCTTGACTTAAAACAATAAGATTGCATTTGTCAAAAACGTTGCTTGACTTAGACAACCTTGAATTAAAAATAATAATTATTGTCTTTGTCTCGAAAATTAATCAAGAGTTAAGACAATAAGATTGTTTAAAAAAAAAAGTTAATCTTGACTTAAAACAATAAGATTATCTTTGTCCATTTTGTCCGAATATCTCTCGACATCTTCCACGGCCTCGGCCATATACTCGCTATCTTCCAGAACATTCCCCGCCTCCTTCTTTATACCAATCTGCTCTAGTCGTACATCGTCCAGAGTCTCGTCCCTCTCTCGCTGCACGTGGTCCTCTAGAGCCTTGACCCTGTCCTCCTCCAAGTCCTTAAACTGCTGAAATGTCCTGTCCAATGTCCTGTCGTTGTCGAAGGCGATATTCGCCAGACGCTCGCCCGTCGATACGTCCTCTACTTCAGGGACATCTTTCTGCACGTTTTGTAAATCGCCTACGCTTTCTTTTTCCAGCGATTCCACCGCGCTCGATATCTCTTCGTCGATATCGTCCGCCTCTTGCATGTCTCGGATTTCGCTGACCACACCCTCCTCCGCCAAAAACGGGTCGCCGATGTTCTCGATCTCGATATCGTTATCCGTTTGGTCCTCCGCTTTTTTGTAATTATCCGGGTCGTTTTTGTCTATCCCGTTCTCCATGACGAACTTCTCATCCGCTTCAGTGAGCGTCGGCGGCAGGACAAAATCCGCCATCTCTTCTTCCTCCTTGAAGTGCCTGGCAGCTTCCTTGACGTCGACTAGACTATCTGTAGGGATAACGTCGAACGCGATGTCGTCGACTTTTTCTTTGGGCGTCGTGAAGATCTGCGACTTGTCCGGTGACTCGGCCACCTCCAGCAAAGATTCGTCCGCGAGCTCCTGCCTCTCCCCGTCGTCGTGGTCGTCATCGACGTTTGACTTGGCCAGCATCTCGTAGTCGACGTCCTCCTCGCCCGTCTTCACCGGCCAGTTGACCTCTCGTTTTTGTAGACGAGAATCTCGCGTCTTCATTGGCCAGTTGACCTCTCGTTTTTGTATCACGAGACCTTGTGGACGAGAATTTCGCGTCTTCATTGGCCAGTTGACCTCTCGTTTTTGTAGACGAGAATCTCGCGTCTTCATTGGCCAGTCGACCTCCCGTTTTTGTAGACGAGAATCTCGCGTCTTCATTGGCCAGTTGACCTCTCGTTTTTGTAGACGAGAATCTCGCGTCTTCATTAGCCAGTCGACCTCTCGTTTTTGTATCACGTGACCTTGTTCACGAGAATCCCGCGTGTCTTCGCCTATCTGCGCTTGACCCCCAGGACGATTAGTGTTGTATTTTTTACCACCTTTCAGCTCGTCTTTCTGATCAGATTCGTCAACGATATAACTGGTGGTTTTTTTAGTTATGGATTTCATTTTTGGAACTCCGGCGCCCTGTTTAGTTTTAGGTTTAGGACTGTCCCCAACAGGACCGTCCTCAGTTTTAGACGCTGGATTAGCGTTACCTTCCGGTTCACTTTCCCAAGTTCCAACGACTTCCGTTCCAAAATTGACCGGTTTGGTTCTCCCACCGACCTTATCTCCCCAATGCCGAAGCTTCACCCGACCTTGCACGTTGCCATTTTTGAACTGCCGGATCAAAAATTTATCCGGATTTTTCTCAATTTTTCCGAAATCATCCGGCTTGGAGATTTCAAGAGGCGGGTGAGATTTTCTCCTGTAGTTGTTGTACCGGGTCGTGATGCTCTTTAACCCGACCTTCAACCCCGGTTTGTTCCCATCCATCATAACCTTGAGCGTTTTTTCGTTTCGTAAAATTTTAATCGGCTTTTTAATTTTTTTATTATCCAGCATGGCCTCCTTTAGTGCGCCTTTTCTCTTCTCCTCGCTCAAGATGTTCCATTTCGCCTCCAACAACTTCAGCTGTAGGGTTAGATTCGGCGAGATGGTCGAGAGTTCGAACCCGAGTATCTCCTTATCGTTGTCCACGTGCGGCTTCAACGTCTCCATGACCTGGTGATTCATCGCCTCCTCCAGCTGGTTCGTCATGTTGTCTAGCTCCTGGAGGGTCCGGTTCAACCCGCGGTTGATTTTCTCAAACTCCATCATATCCTTCTGGTACAGATGCTCCTCCTTCAGCCTGACTTTCTTCGTCTTCTCCACAATATCGTAGCTGTCTTTCCATGCTTCAGTTCGGATACCGTTAATCCTCGCTTTCTCGACCCGCCCGAGTTGAGTATGTAGAAGTTCTGGTAACTCTTCTTTCGGAACTTCAAGATCAGTATAATCCCCCATTTGGTCCTTTATAGCGTTAGTAAACGGCGAGATGTCATCGATTTCTGGGAAGTCCGCATTAAAATCTTCGTCTTCGATCCCGTCGTCCAGCTTTTCCTTACCGATTTCTGAAATTTCGTTGTCGATATCTGAATTCGAACCTAAAGGTAGACCCCTGTCTAAAACTTCTCGTTCCACGTCGGTTTCGATCCCGTGTCGTTGTCCGATCGCACGTACATCGTCCTTCTCGTTCAGTCCCAAAGGGTTGGGTAGGTCGGCAAAGTCTGATGCACGATGTACGTCTTTCATAGCTTTGTCGATCGTTTGCGGCTGACGGTTAAATTCTTCGAGGTTCTTCAAAGAGCTGTCCCCGTCTTTGTCTAGCACGTCCATCTTCTCGTGGCGTTCCAAGTTACTGAGCTCGTTGATCGTCGTGTCTTTGTCGTACTCCATCCCGCCAATGTCGTAGAGCAGGGTTTTCCCGCTGATATCCGCCGCCACGTCCCCTACGCTCGGGGGGACGTTCAACGTCTCGTCTTTGTCTAAGTCGGTGTCGTCGTCGTTGAAGTCGTAGTACTGGTCGTACCTGTATTCGTTGGCGTCATAGTGTTCCTTCGGGAACAACTGGTCAAAGTTGGCGTCTTCTTTGACTTCTTCTTCCGTGGCGTCGTCCAGGGATAGTTGTTTGATCCGGGCGTCGGCTTCTGCTTGCCGTTTGGTTATATTATGGCGGGAGGGATGCAAAGCCGGAGAAGTGATGTCGCTCGATAAGTTTTGTTTTTTCTTTTCGTCGCTGCTTGAGCCGGCTGTTTGTGATGTGATTTCCGGAGCAGAGGGTTCTGGGGCGGATATTATCCGGAAGTGGGCATCAGATTCTTCTTTTGGTGATGGCAAGGTTCCGTTATGTTTTAAATATTTTGGCTGTTGTGTTTTCTTAACGATCGCCTTACGTAATGTTGGATGTTTTTTTTTCTGAACACGCCCCTTACGTGATATTGTTTGTTTTTTCTTCGCAAAACTCGCGTTACGTAATCTTGGCTGCGGCTTTTTCTGAACACTCCCCTTACGCAATGTTGCCTTTGGTGTTTTCTGAGCAATTGCATTACGTAATCTTGGCTGCGGTGATTTCTGCACACTTTCTTTATGTAGAGCTGGTAGCGATGATCCTGGAACACTACCTTTGTCTACTTCTGGTAGTGTTGTGTTTTGAACACTTTCTTTATGTAGAGTTGGTAGCGATGATCCTGGAACACTATCTTTGTCTACTTCTGGTAGTGTTGTGTTTTGAGCACTTTCTTTATGTAGAGTTGGTAGCGATGATCCTGGAACACTATCTCTGTCTACTTCTGGTAGTGTTGTGTTTTGAACACTTTCTTTATGTAGAGTTGGTAGCGATGATCCTGGAACACTATCTTTGTCTACTTCTGGTAGTGTTGTGTTTTGAACACTTTCTTTATG